GAAGGATGCTTTCAGTCAGAATACAAATAATAGAGGAAATGCAAAGGGAGCTGCACATCTCAGTAAGGGATGGCAAATGGAAAGCAGAGGAAACAGCAGAGTCATTTCACACTGAGATAGCTAGCAAAAAGCTTCAAAGATTACACAAAATCAACACCACAAACAGACTGCAGAGTTTTATTGCTATATACCACCTAACTTTCAATTTCAAGTAGTTAATTGTTAGGGTAATGTCAATCTCAAGTTTGTTCTTAATATACAATGCCATTCACCTCTCCCTCAGATATATTGTGCGATGATACTTTAGTGAATAGAACAACTTAGGGCTTTCTATTCCTAAGACTGGGCTTTATTTTCAACAGCCTGAAAATTATTCTGACACATTAGCCTATTAGTAAAAGCATAAAACATTTAAACTCTTAAGGTGTGAAACAGTTCTTCTTCACATAACAACGCAAGAACAGGGTTATGTAAAATCTTACCATTTCTTTACTTCAGCAGTTTTTATCTCATTACCTTCTAACCAAGTGAACTGATAACTAACAGTAGTCTACTAGGCATGCTGGCCAAGGAGGCATAAAATGTTTTTCTTATTTAGCCTTATCAAATACACCTAGAGATTTCCAAAAAAAGCCTGTTCATTCCACCAACTTTTGCAGTTTTACAGCAAGCTCCATTCACCTTTAGGATTGAGAGCCCACCTCCTTCCAAAGGATAATGTTTTTACAAACTTGAGTCCTCAACCCAACCTCAGTTCCTACCTCATTCGTCATCCCATCAATGACGAGTGTATGGATTCACTGAAAGCAAAAAGGAAGTACAATGAAAACCAAATTAAGCAGATCTTACAAAAAATTGTAAGATTTTTGTTAAATGAAGCGCAATACCAAGGGAACAGCTGTCACCAAGTTCTCAGCCTTTAAGTTATCCCCATGATTAATGGCACGTCCCTCTACTCCCCAGACAACAAGATCCTGATAAACCATAACTAAGCCAAGGACCATTTATTTCAGTTCTTCAGCAGGTGTCTTCACACTTTTATGTAACAATATTGAGAGCAGGGGACACACAGGCTTGATTCACAACAGGAAAAACATTGCCCATCAGATGGCTCTTCCATACATACGTCACCAGAGCTACAGTCAAAGATGAATCCTATTAGTAAGTGGATGGCAGTAAATGACAAATAGGTAGCACATGATGACCCTCCATCAACCCCAAACTCCATTTCTTCCCTTTGAGCCACAGCAATTTCTGTTTCTATGGCTATAAATTGCTAAACTAATCAAAATTACTTGAAAAAAAATGTTAGGTTCAAGGCTACAATCAGTTACCTCACTCCCTAAAACCAGTCACAGCGAGCATGTGAAAAACAAATATCCTTCCTGAAGAAGCCTATACTGACCTAACTGACCAATGACAATAAATAGATGGGTGAGAAGCTTTTTTCTATCTAATCTGTGGTTCCGTTTATTGGCAGATCAAAAAGAAACTCCACTGAAAAAGATAATCAGCCATTTTCTTAACAGTAGCGACTTATCAGGCACTTTCCTTCTGTGTGATGTGTGAAAGTGTGTTTATATCCGCTGCTTCCGTATTTACATGACGCTTGTTCCTCTATCATAGTGAAAAACCTCTATCCCTCCGGGCTACACAATCAATCCCCCACCCACAAACATGGACCAAGTATAAGATGATTAAGTTTTCAAATTTCCAAATTACAACAGTTGCAAGAAACAAACAGTACTTTCTATAACAATTTAAGAAAAAATAAGTTTTAGTGCAGCTAAATTTCTATTAAAAATAACACTATGTCAACAGAAGTCTTCATTTATTTCCAAGTGTTCAATTGTTATTACACATACGCCATTTAACTATTTTTTATTTGAACATTAATGTAATTACAATTTGAGGGCTCATATTTCCACTGGCCTCTCTGCAATAGATCCCACCAGAGCAAAACATAAAACATTCCACATGGTTAACAACATGACATTTGAGTTACCAGAATTACAATCATAATTTTTTTTGCTAACAGATCACATAAGAAGTACGTAACTGGGGCATTTCCTTTAACAGAAATATCAAACTTAGTACTGCATTTGTTTAATTTCAATATGAACGTCTCTACGTAAGAGCAACATCGTACACGACAGTTTGATTTATCACACATATTGTACTTTGGCAGCTCTAACTGTGATGCATTTTTCCTCCTAAGCTCCATAGTAGGTTTAATTTATAAAACATATTGCTAACATGCCCTGCATAAACATCAAGAATCAAATGCATCTTTCTTTTGCCACTACAATGGGAAAGGGACCAGTGTTTTTATCTCGTATTACACAGTCTTTTCATACACGCACAATTTTCTTCCATGGACACTTCTACATGTGCCCTACCTACCATTTTGTCTGCAAGAAAATAATCTTTATTAGAAAAAAAAAAATCTAAATTTTCTTCTCAAATTAGAAAGACTACAGCCGTAAACAATTACATGAGAAATCACTACCAATTACTTATCTCAAAATAACATTGAATGTGTCAAATTTTTATCAAGTAACAAGCACATCTGAGGTGCAATGAATTCCCTCACAATTCAACTCATCCCATTTTGAGTTCATTTGTGAAACTGACTGGTTTATTCAGTTACCTTTTCTGTAGGACATTCATGCAGATGTTAAGATTGGCTCCGGTAAAATTCATTGTATTTTTTCATTGTTACAGGCAGAAATGTAACTGGCAGATGGAAAACTATTTTTAAACACACAAGCTAAGCAAAATCAAAATGCCCCAAGTTTTATCAAGTGAAATGGGATAAACAACTCCAGTAATTATCACCACAAATTCAGCAAGGGGGTTATCTGTAAGAGGAACTAATAGTTCTTGGTTAACAAATTCTAATTTCTTTGAACACCTCTACCATCAGTTTCCACAAGAGAACTAATCACTATATTAAAACTTTTTCACTTACTATCCCCAATTGAATGAATTTAATTCTCCACCTTCCTGAACACAATTGTATTGTACTTTGATACACAACTGCCATCCAATGACCTACTACCACAGTAATCTAAGTGAGGACAATGTTCCCTCTAATGTAATCATGCACTTTAAAGTAGCCACATGAAAGTTTTGAGGTAAAATGGGTGAAATCTGGTTGCAAAATTTCAAACTTAAAGGAAAAAAAATCATATATTCATACCGCAAATAAACACCTAGAACCTGTCGATAGTGATCTGAAGCAATTTATTTCATTCACTCATCTGTGAAATTTTAGTAGATATTTCATATTTATTCTATTTGGTCCAAATATCCCTACATGCCTTTAAGAGTTACTCAGAAAAGAATGTTGTGCCCATAAATGCATCTGCTACCACAACACATCTCTTCATCCTTTTATTCACCTTCAAGCAGTTCTTAAAAACTCAGATTTCCTGAGCTATACAAAAACAGATTTTAACTTTATTTGTAATACGTCAACAATCGGTAGGTTAACAAGCAGGTGGAGGTATCTGACATAACATTTAAATTAAGTAATATATATTTAATTTGATGAAGTCACCCTTCCTCACCCTTCAATACCTATTTGTATTGAATTATAAACTCTGCAGCACAGGAAAAGTCTGTGTATGGCACTTCCATGAATGTCTGCAATATAAACAATTATATTAAGATATTCCAAAATTAAACATCGTGTTTATCTATACAAAATTTAAAAAATACATTAAGCTTAACATCAAATGGGAAAATTACAGCTAAACCAATTAAGTTGTACATTCACTACATAGTCTTGAAATGTCAATTTTCATGAAGTTGTTTCATCTTCGTTCGATTAACTGAATTAAGTCAGAAAATGAACTCTGCTCCAATTCCACTAACGTACATATTTTCCCTGTAGTTATCACGTGTCAGCTAACTTTGATCTTTCACCATTAACTTCCGTACTTGCGTGCCCCTTATCTCTCCCAAGTTCTACTCAAACATCATATTCTCCCTTCTTCGTTCCATTGTTCGTGACACCTACCAAGAAGCCCTTCAACTGGGGTAGCATCTAGTCTAATAGAGCTTCCACTGGACAGAAGCTTCTCTTACCAGAATAGTACAATGGTTGACAAGTGAAGTTCGCTAGAGTCATGATCCACTATGTACCAGTGCTTCACTTAAGCGCTAAGTATCTTCTGCACAACAGGTAAAACAGCTGTGCACAGGTAAGCCACACAAAGCAAGCCAACTTAAGTGGTTTGGGCAGGCAGCGTGGACAGGGCAGGAGCATGATAGCCAGACATTCTGGCTGAAGTAATTTTAACCCTGTTTGACTGTTTAACCTGTGTTACAGCCTAGTTTAAGCATCATTGTTTGCGCAATACTCTCAAACAAACAAAAGCCCTACAAAGACAGGTCAACTATTCTTTTCTATAGAATACCTAGTTAGTATGTGTTCAAAAATGAATTTAATGCAAAGCTTGAAAAGGTTACCTAACCAAAAACCACATTTGGAGCTTTTAAATACTTCTTACTCTGAGGTATATGTCTATTACTGTAAAAGTTTATGCATCACATAAATCTAGGGTCCAAGAAAAAAGGCCTATTTTATTTTCTAAATCAAGCAAGCTATAGAAAAATGGGAAGAAATAGCATGTGGCTTGTGTTCAAGTGTTATTGTTTAGCATTACACTTCATGCAAGTAATGCAAAAAAGTCTATATACTCAGGACTGTTTACATCTGAATAAATAGGGTAAATTAGCAAATACAGTATTTAAAATTATCTACAAAAATGTGTTTTACCAAGTATTCACTGTTTGTATCAAGTCTTAAAGCAGAAAGCTATCAGGGCAATACCAAAGAGTATGAAATAAAAGAAAAAAATTAAATGGAGGCATTTTAAGAAATCTCATCAGAAAACAAATTCGTATTAACTAAACTGAAACTAAAACAAAGACTAAAGCTATTAGGTGGCCTTATCAGTAAACACCTTCAATCAAAAGGCCATAAACAAGTATGCTTTACATATTATTTGATTTGTTTATTTTACACCATGAGGTGAAAGCAACACATTTCCTTTTAGTAAAGTATACACAAATAGCCTCACTCAGAATACACTTTTAATGCACATAAAAAAAGTATTCATCTTACAAATCGTTTTGCAATCCAAATATACAATAGCTTGGAAAACAATATTTTAGAAAACAAAAGCCAATGTAAAAAGACCGCTCAAAACAACTAAATGATAAAAGTTTCTGTATGGCTCTGTCTTTACAGTTTTCTTACTGCATCATCAATATCAGAAATCTGTTCCTTCAGCTGGTTCCACTGTTCTGGATTTAAAGAAATACCTGAAATGCATTAAAAATAAACACTTAAGACAAAAAGAAAATTGTGGTGCAGGATCTTGCATGATTACTATCAAGGCTGGTTTCATACAGAAAGTCTATGTTACAACTGTTAATGCTTGAGCTACTTCAACAACTACCACAGTTACAAAGTGAAACTACTCATTTGGAACACTTCAGTTTAACTTTAGACTTCAGCTTATCTTCAGACAAGTTTAAATTACAAAGAAAATGAGTACAGTGTAACAAATTCATTCACAAGTGTTAGGCTAAACACAGGAAGGGAAATAAAGCCTTGGCCTTGATAGAAGGCAGCACAAAAGCCCTAAGTGAGATGTTGGAAATCATTCGTATTCCTGTTGGCTCCTAAAAGCCATACCTCTGTGGACTGAATTTGTATGCACTCATAATTCCGGGGTTTTTTTCCCTCCTGTTTCTAAAAGCTCTGTAAATAACACATACCATAAGTGTTAGTAATAATAATAACACATACTATTTTGGAGAGACTCTATTCCACTCCCTAGCAGTCACAAACCAACATGGAAGCTATTTTTTCACTTCAAGTTCACTATAGTTTCTAGTGACATTCAATCAATAATAATTCAGTGCCCCACAACCCACCTCCTCAGCTCTAAATTTGTACTTCCTCAAGCTCAAGTCCAGGCACATGGTTCCTTTGTGCTTTAGTCTCCTCATTCTTTCCCTTCCCTACAATCCCTATGCCAACTCTATGCAAGTACAGACTCACAGGCCTACCTCTCATACTCTCTCCAGTCAGGCTCTTCTACTATTTACCCCCACTCTCCCCCCTCAGTGACCAGGCTTCCTTCATTGCTTTCTCCCTGTAGGTAGAGCAGGACCTGAAAACAGGTGAAACTTTGAATTCCATTTTTGGGGCTCATCGCCTTTTTTTTCCTTCTACCATCACTGTCTTATCAGAGCACCACCATAATTTTGAGCAGCAAGCAGTCTGCATGGGGCTACTCTAAGCAGTTTTCCACCAGTTTTTAGAGGGCAGGTTTCTTTTGAAAAGTTAGGTGTGCTAACCGTTACTAGGGGACCAAATGTCATCAAGATGTCCCTGAACCACATACCAGATGAACTGCGCACAGTTCAGACCTGCTGTCTGAAGCAACCTGACACAGTAACTTAAACTGTTGGATTTTTTTTTTTCTGTTTTTTTATTGCACAATTTCAACTGCTTATACTGTTTTTAGGATAGCTAGATAAGCGGCTCGTAAGTGCGTCAATGGAACATTAAACTCACATACTGTATCAGATTATTATTAATTTTATCCTAATAAAATTCAGACCTTTTTGCCACATTGATAAACATTTCTGTCCACATCATGTAATTTTTATCACTTGGCCTACGCATCAAATCTCACTGTAGTTTGCCACTCAAACTGCATATACTTTTGACTTCCACCTCAAAACACAGCAGGTTAAAGTCCTTAGAAGTTAGAGTAATCTTTTTTGTTAAGTAGCAAAGAATGTAGCAAACCTTATGCTGACTGTACAATAAATGCCTCCAATCTCCAGGGCAGAATGTTTCATACTTACCTCTTTCCTTGGCACAATATGAAAACCAATTAAGAGTAGGCTTTTCTAACAGAAGCAACATGACATTAAGCAAAGCACTACTACTGCAACTATCCTCACATCCTCATCTTGGCAGGCGGCAAAGTTCTGAAAATGGTTCCGTGGAGGCAAGCCATAAAAAGCAGGTATGGGAGTGGCAATTAAAGGTACAATGCCTTATGCTGTGCTGCAAATTAGAAGCACAGTACCAAAATTTGAACATTTGAGGTATTTTCAGCTCAACTAAAATCTTGACATATTTTTTCCAAAATTAGTCACATTAAATGTTTTAACTATTTTAACTCAAAATTTGTCAGAAATTGAAGGACATAATTCTTTTAAAGAAATTAACATCTTACCACAAATGAGTAAGTTAAATCTTTTCAGTGAATTTTGAAATAAGAAATCCAATTGTAATAAAAGAAAGAAATTGCATTGATTAAGTTAATCAGTGTGGGGGAAAAAAAAAATATGGCTATGTTCATAACTCCCATACCAAATTTGCTTGTATTTGATACCTTGTTTTCCATAAATCATGGAGGATCCATTAAGGAAAACAGACTCAGGCCAACAAACCCACTTTGTTTATACAAAATATAAGATACAGATTTTTTTAAAATATAAATTACAAAAACCTAAAAATATTACTCTAAAAATATAATGTAGCACCAAAGTGTAACAATATGATACACAAAAGTTCTCCAGCAAACTGCAGACAATGTTTTAATGCAAAATAACATGAAGCAGAACAATACCTTTTCTGCCAGGCTTCATTTCACCTTCTTGATCCATCCAATATTCTCTAATATCAATTAAGACTTTCCCTTTAAAGTCACGAACACTGACATACCTCATTTTGCCAATCTGCCAAAACACATATAAGGGTCTTTTAGGTATTTTACATATTACAGCATTCACTTTTCCCAGCAGTATCAGACTTGGACATGTGACATTGCACACTGCAGCTTATTTTAGACAGCAGAGAAACAACTAGATCAAAAGCTTAATCCAGAGTAGTCAGTAGGCTAATAAGTAATGACAATATAAATGGATGAACGACTTAAAATGAGTTGAGCAGTCAATGCTCAATGCAAAAGCAGCTCTCCTAGAATAAAAATACCTATATTCTTAACACGCCTACTTCTTACAACAGCCAATAATTTACTGTTTTCTGAAATAAAAATTTGCCTCTGTTATAACCATCTTGGTTTGCAGCAGTTGTAAACAAACAGGGAAAGAAGGAGCTCTACTCCCAAATCTAAATTTTAGTCCATTCCATATGTACGGAAAGCAGATATTCACATGAGATAACCACAATTTCTAGAGGTTTGTTTTTTTTTTTTAATATAGTAAATACAGACGGAAATGAAAGTTAGCCACCAACTATGCTGCTCCCATGCCTGCTCCCAAGTCCTCATGGCACTTCATTGGAACTGTGGTTAAAAGACTATCTCACTGTACCAAGTGTTTAAAAAAAAACCATTCAAATCCTTTAAGTTTACCAGCATGTCACATAGAATGAAATGATTTTGGAATTTCATAGTTTCTGCACCACAGTGGCTTAAATGAATTATGAGCGTGCTTTTTTTGGGGGGGGGTCGGGGGAGCATGGGGGAAGGGGAGGAGTCACGCTGACAACTACGCGTTACACTATACAAAGATCTTTCCAAATTTGATAAAAACTTTTTGTTCACATAAATTCAAAGTATAATGTGAATTTGAGAATTTTAGATAATAAAACCACAATCAAGTACAATTCATATAAGAAATTCTTAGAATTCTGTATGCACCTTCTGGATGCACTTTTTGAAGAACGAACACATTCCGAAGTAAACAATTTTAAAATAGAATATTTCTTCCTGATAAAACATTAACTTTAGTTTTCAACTGCCTTAGTTTATGCTTCTTGCATTTTGATACAATTTAACAAGGGCCCAACCAGATCTTACTAGCATTAAGTCTGACCAGAAAGGTTGAACAACTTTCCAGTCAACTAAAATCATCCACAGATGTGTAAGTCACAAGCTGTTATTTCACAAAATAGATATAAACAAGAATGCTTTATGTTTGCTTAAAGTAATTTTTCTTTTTATGCAGATCATGCTAAATTAACTCTAAAATTGATTTTAAAACAATTAAGACATTTTTAGATACTGTAAGCCTGAAGCAGTTTTCCTACTTCAAAGCATCCTTTAAAATGAACAAGACATTACAGTTTATAAGATAATATTTTTGATTGATTTATTAAATACTTTCACAGTACTACAAATTTAACATTCAAAACTAAGGTATAATGTCATGGTAGCTTAGTTCTTTCAGACCACACTTGCTACCATGCCCAGGTCCGTCACCACTGCTGGCAAAGAATATCCCGAATAGCCTACATGAACAATATTTCTTGGGTTTAACCCTTTAATGCTCCAGTGACTTTTGAGGTCACCTCTAAGAACAGCTTCAAGCAGTAATACTCCACAACACCTTTTTTTCCCAGGGCTATCAAAGAATATTAGTGCATTGCCAAGTAATTCCAGATTGGCTCTAAGAAATAAAATCTGATACAATGTAGCAGATTACAGCTGCAAATACAGTAAGAGAGTTTAGGATTTGAATTTTAAGGATAAGACTGTATGTCTTAATTCAACTACAGTACGGCGAATAATGCAAAGTTCACATTCACTTAATCAGTAAGTCTACCTTAAATGGAAACAGTTCCATATGAAAATGCTGACATGAAGTTAGGTTTTACATCGCTGTCTAGATTTCAGCTGAATGTTCACATGAAATTTTGAATCTTTAGTTGAACTCTATGCAAAAGCTGCCACTGCTAAAAGCTTTAAATAGGTTTCTAAAGTACAGTTTCAATTAACATCTAAGGTTTAAAACCTCAACCAAAACCTAGATTTAAGTAAATTGATGTTTCTTGATGTTCAGTTACTCGTAATTCTGGCACAGATTCATTTCTGAACAATTCTTTTTTCATGCAGCAGCCGATAGTCCCAGAATAATTTTGCTGATCTAAGACATCTTTGTATCTCTGTAACCACAGTAGTGTTCCAAGGGTTGTATTGATTTATAGCAGTGTAGTTACTGCAGTTCAACCTTCATAGGCAAGTTCGTATGCTTTTTATTAAATATTACAGCTCCTTAGATTATGCTATTCTATTGAATTACCTAAATCAGAAGACATTAAAAGCATTATTTCCAGGTTTCCATTTCTTAGAATAAAATGCACTGAGCTGTGTCTTGGTTCCTTTCACAGCTATGCAACTGACTTCCTGTATGAGTTTCAGCAACCACCTTTTTCACCGTTTTTCTTCCTATTTCCAGTTTGCCTTGATTAAACTGTATACACACTGTGGAAGCAGCAACAGCAAAAAAGCATCCTTCCTTCTTAGCTGGTAACTATTATGTATAGCATTAAAAGGAGCACAATGAAGAATTCTGTAAACAGTGAGATCTGCAACACAGCAAACTGATTGTGAAATGCATCGGTGACCACCCAAGTTTCAGAATTAATGTGCTAAACCAATCACTTTTCCAGAGAATCGTAACCTTTTATATTTATCTACCTTCAGGAGCCTATGATAGATAAAGACATTACACTGGGAAACCAAAGAACTTATTTCTCACAAGTCAAAAAGCAAATATGACCCAAACTTTAAAAAAAAAAAAAGGGGGAAGGGGGGGAGGCAGGACAACACACAGATGGACTAGTTTTGAAGTAACAATTTCCGTGAAATGCCTGATCATGCGATGTGGTTCCACTCTGGGTAGTCACTAATACTGTACCCTGACAGCATTAGCAAACCTTATCCAAATCAGGCATAGGTAGATGACAGGATTTGTCAAACTAACCAAAGCACATGATGCAGAGCTCACATTGGCTTGAAGCCACAGACAGGAATCTAATGTATCAACACTAACCCTTCCACATTAACATGAATAATGCTTGACCTTAGGGCCTCTAGTAATACATCACAAATGGGAGTAAGATAAATTTCCGCACCCCAACCGCACCCAAATCCTTTCACAAATTCCAAAGTATACTAGGCTACCCATAAGACCTAAAAAGGCCAAGACATGGAAATAAATAAAATACATTTGTCTCTTACACTGAATTAATTCCCTTCTACTTACATTTATACTATTCTTCATAATTAGTTTCAAGAATACCATTACACGAATGTCAGTCTCAAACAAAAATAATAAAACGTAGATCTTGATGAAAATGCAGAATCTTCTGAATACAGCAGTCACAATGAGCTCTGTATTAAGGGAAGCTATATACTTTAAGAACACAGCCTGAGGGTGTAAAACAAGCCTCTAACTTTCATACCCTTTGCTGCCACTCCCACACACAATACGGACACCACAGAATTTCTGACTATCCTATGAATCAGGCTTTACAGCCTGATTTCCATCAATTGAAGCCACGCATGTAAGTTATACTGCAAAGTCACCTGCACATCAGAGATCATTTTACTGCCATGGCAAAGCAGAAAGGAGATTTTCTAGTATTACTAATAGTCCTAGAAAAAATAAAACCATACCTAAAAAATTAACATGCAGCTAGATCTTCCAGCATGCTCTCCTGGAAAAGAGGGAGTGGGGGGAAGTATCCTCAGACTTACCGTGCTATTTCTACACTAAAACAGTTGCATCTTCGTTAACGCACCTAAGCTGATGTAGCATGAAAAAACTCACAATGCTTCACATAACAAAATAAGCAATCTAAAAAACATTTTGTTTTTGATTAACTAAAAGGCAGGCAGAGACTAAGACTGATGTTTTAGGTCAAGGTGATATTCAAATATTTGTCTGTATTATACTCAACACTGGAAGAATCCTGTTCTTATCAGACTCATAGGAGTCCTCTACTGTCTGTTTTTAGTAACTTTTTATTATCTTAGGTCAAAAAGGTTGAAAGAAATCAGAGCACGCAAATACTTTTGCTTTTATTTGAAAGGGTTTGGGGTTTTTTTACATCAGGGGAGCATTAAAAATTTTAACAGCTTTCTCCAATGTTGGAATTTCTGAAATTATTACAACTATAGCATAAAGCTTATACATACGTTTTTTGAGTTCTAACTGCAGTTCACCTCATAAGGTGTACAAGACACTATCTCATTTTTCCTACATGGTTCAAAGCATGCCCCAGCAGAACTAAAAATATTATATTCTTCCTTCAATGGGGAAAGTCCAGGCATTGCCTTCAACTGAAGCCCTCCCTCCCAACTATACATGAAGAGGAAAGTGAGAACTGATACATTAAAAATAACTGCCCTGTATTACAGTATCAGTTAAGCAGGTCTTCCCTCTAGAATTTTTTTTTCCCCACATTACTTTGCACAGCTACAGCCCAAAACCATTTCTTTTGCCTTACTCAGTGCTGGGGCCATCTTATAAGGCACCTCTCCCATACCTTTTCGCAAACTTAAGAATCAAAGGCTCTAAGAATTTAAGTTCCTTTCCAGCCAGCTAGTCAAGAGACATTTAATAAGTCTTGATCCACACCTCTAAAACAGGTAATTCTGAGCTACGCAATTTTCAGCACACACTGCTACTACCTCAGCTAACCCCAGTAACTGCAATACCCAGAATTCACGAATGCGTCTTGCTACTGAAAAATGTACATTCATCCCATCTTAAAGACAAGGACAATGTCAAAAATTATCATCTTTCTGGATGTTCAGTGAGAAAAACCTACATCATGAAACAAAGGAAGAAGCAAAACTTATTCCAAGACACTGTCTTATAATATAGGAGCGAAGTTGCCCTTGACCTAGTTAAATAGGAATGAAGAGTCCATACTTTCGTTTCCAAGTATCTTTCTTTCAAGAGCCCTGACTAAAAAAGATTTCCATGAAGACAGTCCTGATCTAATATTTACAGTATACTCATGGCAAGTGCTGTATTCACCGACAAAATGACTACCCAGAGTTACCATGGGCAAAGACATGAGGGTTAGATCAATTGCTACAACTCAGATTCTTTTACTCTGCTGAAAACTGACAACGCTTTTTCTGAGCATCTTATCTGCATGCTAGCATGGTAATCCCCTTTGGCCAAGGCTTCAGGAGACCCAGCACTATGCTGTCAAGATTCTCAGATCACCTCATAAAATTTATACTGAATATGATGTAACATGTTATCTTAACAAGGCTCTAAGAGTCATCAATTTTACCTGAAACATATTCTCGTCTCTGTTACTGCTTTGCTTAGAAGAAGCTGCACCTTTTGAACTTTCACCAGTCTTTTGTTTCTTTACAGGCTTTTCTGGAGCTGCTTGCTTTTTCCGCTTTGCCTTGGAGCAAGAATAAAAAGAGAACAGCATGAACCACAACTCATTCTACAAGTTAGAGAAAAGTTTCCATTAGAGGTCACAAATTACTATTATGCAATGCACATTATCACCTTCCTTCTGTGAAGGCAGGAATTCAATACTGTACATTTAGACCGGAATTTAAAAAAAAAAAAAAAAAATCTTCAAATGAGCCTAATTCTGTTCCCAGTGAAGTTTACCATAATACTTTGGCTTTACAGAGAATCCTACTCTTTCTGCGCAGTAATACTGTCGGTTCAATAGTTTTAATAAAAAATTTGAAGTCTCATGGAAGTTTCAACTTCCTTTCCACTGAGTGCAACAAAAAATGCAGGACAGTTTACAACTCTTCTTAAAAAAAACCACAAAAAAACCTAGATGAGGTAATGAAGAAAGGATTGGAAATCACCTCCATCAAAGTAATTTTTTTTAAATCAGCATCCAATCTCTGTCCATAAAATGATAAATTTAACATGTTTTTAAAACATTCAGACAGTATCTTCTGCAAATCAGATTACCCGCAGATACTATAAAGGTACTATTTCTACTCATGGTTACATAGTAACCATGCCTGCCCCAAAAAAAGAGTAATACAAAGATACCAAAAATTAGTCTCACCTGCTAGAATTGTACCGTGGATAACCTCTTTTAAAGACAAAGAGTTCCAAAAAATATGGGAGGTTATAATAGGAAAAAAACCCCCAACACTTTACTGCCCACTAAAGCAGACTGTTAGACTATGTCTTTTCAGGAATGCAGCTCCCTATTGAAAAAATAACCTGACTGCTTTTCTTATATTAAGGTCTGACAGAACGCCTAATTTGCAAAGTGCAACCATGTCACGATTGAACCAATTCAGTAAAGCAGACCAAGTCTCTTCACATACTACATTAAAAGACCTGATGTCTGTGTTACAACATAGCATTTCTTAAAAGGATAAATTCACTGGGGTTTTTTTTGTTTTGTTCATAATGACTGGTATATCTACACAAACTTATGAATTAAATAACTATTAAAAATAAATGGGAACACTCAATTTATACATTTAAAACAGTCAACATATTAAAAATAATCAACTGAAAGACACTCAGGTTGGCTCAGCTTTTAAGTGAGAAACTAGCAGATGGTATTACAGTAAATATAAGAATCTGAAACAGAGAAAAAGAACATGCAAACAAGATAAGCAAGTGGCACATAGAGGACAAGGCAAGTGGAGGTTTTTGTTTTGGACAAATAATCCAGATATGAAAATGGGGGGCAGGCAGTGTTTGCCCCCAAAATTAGTCCAAATTCTTGCCACCAGGGGCAGCTTACACAGAAGCTTTCTATCACTTCTGCAGCAAACAATTCCAGGAAGCTTGTGGTTAGATATATCCTATGGAAAACCCTGAACAGAGCAAAATGCAACTTAGAGAAAAAAAGTATACTGCAAGACAAAAAGCATCCTATCCACCCAAACCCTAACCTTGGGAAGTGTTTTTTTTGTTGTTGTTGTAGTTGGTGGGGGAGACAGGGTGGGGTGTTTTGGGTTAAGTGTCTGCTAAATCATAGGGAATGACATGCACATTGTGACATAATGCTCACCTGATTCCTTAACCCCAGCCTGAAACATAAGAGTTAATACAGTAGTAATAAACTGCATATAATGTTCACCTTTTTGTCAACTTCACTATCTGAATCACTGGCAGACGAGCTTGAAGACACAAGTTCCTTCGACTTAGGCATTCTAGGAGGAGAAAAGTAAGGTGAGAACACTATACAAGGAATACGTCCCATTACAGCTGGAAAGCCATCTTCAAACCTGTTTGTAAAGGCTCATTTTATTCAAAACTTTCCTGAAGACCTTCCTGCCTTTTCATATAAGCTTTAATACACATTGTAGATGCATTCTCAAACACTCTTCCCTCTTATATCTCTTCCCCTTTTTGCTGCAACTGCATTAAATGCATGGGTTTAGTTTCTACACTGTTTACAAAGGGACAATTTTTCACCAGATATGGCAGAAACCATAATGTAAAACATACATTACAATACTGTCCTCCAGTTGAATTCTTTATACTACATTCACAAATATAAACTATTAAGGCCCTAGCGTTATCTATACTCTTACATGGGCATTTTGCCCCATTGGATTTGCAAGCAACACACTGCATAATCGTCATACATGAAGCTAAAGTTCCCACCAATAATACAAAAGTCTGAAAAACACCTCCGTTACAATGAACTACAGTATCACAATTAATATTTCCACTGCAGCTTCAACACATCAGTCACTAGAGTCTATTCATTTGCCAGACAAGCAGACATTCAACTTTCCTTGAATGCACGCTGCCAGGTGTGCTTCTGTATCTCTCTAGTATGCAAACATGTGGTTAGATATAGCAGTTGCACATCTTGCCTGCAACTAGAAACTCTTCGTAACAAATAAATAGCTCATTTGTTCTTTCAGAATAAAAATAAGCATCCCAAAGAGAAACTGTATAAAATAAACTACAGCTAGAAAAGACTAAGAAAAGATTAAAGAAGCATATCTCGGGAAAGAAAAAGGAATAGCGGTGTTTTTAAACCGGCAGTGAAAAAAACATATGCAAATGAAAAAACGGAGTCTGAATAATGCTAACGGATCAACGTGGTTCTAAAGTAGGGTAAGTTCTGTCGTAACAGCTTGGAGCACAACGATGGAAGCTGTAGCACTGAAAATGAAACAGGATATGAGGAAGCACACATAAGCCAAGCTACAGGATGGAGGCAGAGGAGACCTGGAATGGGACAATGTGAAAATAAGCACAGCGATGACATGAAATCGGGGAAAATTTCCGCACAACGCGGGGGTTGCGGGCACCAGCAGGGGATAACGCCAGGGTCCGCATCAGGATGAGGGAGTGACAATATGGAGGAAGGTAGAGGCGGAAACTGGAGGGAAAAGAAATGGGGGGTGGTAGGTGCCCCTCAGGAGAGGCTGACTGGCAGGCAGAGCATGAGGAGACACCGAAGCACCCGTGAGAGCGAGGGCGTAATGAGACGGGCCAAGTGAGGACGAGGGAGAGAGAGTGGAGAAAGACAAGCCAGGACGAGCTAGGAACACCAGGTAGGCC